GTCACAGGGGGTCCAGAGCTTATATCAGAGGCTACAGGCGCAAGGCAGGGAACAGCCCAGGATGGGGCACCAACCCATCACAGGGCACATACACACACCTATGGGCAATTTGCTAACTGCATTCAGCCTCAGCATGTTTTTGGAGAGTTGGGGGAAACCAAACCACCCTGAGGAAACCCCACGACAGCATGAGGAGAACATGAAAACTCCACACACATGGAACCCTGGCAGAGACTCCTACCCAGGTCACAGAGGTGTGAGGCAACAGTGCAACTACTGCATCATCCTGCCACCTTATAGAGAGATAATGATGCAAAATATCAGCTTTCTGTTTCCTTTTATCTTTCAGTGATGGTCTGTAGTGTAATTGTTTCTGTTCTGTTTCTATTGTGCTGTGTGTTCATGTCATCTGGTCTGGTGATTGTATTGTAATGTAATGAACTGCAAGATCATATCAAGCTTCGTAAATCCTTTAAATGTCAAGCCCTACCTTTTTATAAAGTTTTATTGTACTTTATTGAGGAAGTATCTATGTGTGTCCTACAATGGACATTACAAAAGGAATAGATGCATGAATGGATGACCATACAAACAGAACCAGTGTATACTCAGTTAGAGGGCAGGACGGGTCATGCGATTGATCCCCCCTCCCGTTTCACAAACCACCTCCTGTTGGCGAAATCTAGTGAGGGGACCATGATTTTTTGTCAATGATGGAATTTGAATCTCAGGGTAAAGTAACTGAGTACCCCTGAGTTAGAGTGCAGCTCATTGCCAGTTCTTAGTTCACTCTCCAGGCCGCTGGGTGGCGGTAATGCACCTAGTTATCATCAGCGCATCGTACCCTGAATAGTGAGTAAGAAATTAGGATCTGGGGTATATTTTCTGCGGAAGTTTATAGGCAGGATACCTTAAGGTAAATTTTGCATGTTTTTGTTATTTAACTCTTTTCCAGACTGCAAATGCTACGTGACTATCTAAATGATTAGTTTAAGGTTAAAAATTAACCATCAGTCTGGGAATCCACTTGGAAATGTTTACGGTGAAGCGGACAGATTTTCAGCAGCATTATCAGTTTGAGGGCTTTTGCATTTATGCCATGAGTTACAGGAGGTGCAAACCCCCTGCTCCAGTATCCAGATGCGCTTTTTATTTGTAAGAACCATACGTGGGTACACTCCGTAGAAAACTGTCACGTACCACCTAAATTATACCGTGTAATATGCGTTATTTCCAAATTTCTGCCAATCTAAGCAAACACGTTACTGAAAATATTTAACAATTTTATATATGATGTCCTGAGTTTTATATTTTATGAACAACAACACTTTTGAATTATTAAAATTGGACGATCAAGAAGTTTTCAACATTGAAATGCTGTGTTAAAACAATGAAAATAATTGTATTTAAATATATCCTAATATTAATTGTTACATGGATATTGCGCCTTGACCATTTTAAAGGTACCTTTAAAGTTTAGTGGTAAAGATCTGTCACAGTTTAGTAAGATACATTACTGTATCAACTGAGCTTCTAGTGAGCGCATAGGAATTTCAAAATGTTTAATATCCATGGTCGTTGTGTTTACTGAGTAAAAATACTTCGGAATAAACCTTTCTTTTCAATTTGACTTCATTCTAAAAAATGACGATTCTAAAGCTAGTGAATCACAATACTAACAAATAATCAGTTACGACTGTTTAGTTTATATAATGTGAATGTTAAAATTGGATTCAATCGTTCAGTATATATAAGGTTTTTCTTCAATATCTTAATAGTAATTTGCATACTTACAAGCTATAGCAAAATGCAGTTGGAATGAATACCTCCAAAGTGATACATGAATAATTACATTTATGTGACACTTAATGTAGATAATGTTCACAGGAAAGATAGTCACAAGTTTCCTTTTTTTAATAACAGGGATATTGTTTTTAAATGGATATTGCTAGATTATTTAATCTTCTTCTTCACCAGTAGTAACCTCTAATATTCTTCAAGTAACTAATTACGTTTGTTTGATTATGAAAAAGCTAATCTTTTTCTGATTCAGGCTTCAATAACAGGGACTTGAACACTACTGTGTGGGTTGATGAGTCTCCGGTGAGTGTGGGGCTCTATGTAAAAGGAATCATCCTCCATCACAGGTGAATCACAGTGTATAT